GGAGAGCAGGTGGGCTGACTCCATCCCTGCATGGTGGTCCAGGTGTTACAGGGAAAGCAGGTGGGCTGACCCCATCCCTGCATGGTGGTCTAGGTGTTATACCCTTCTTAATCTTCTTGTTCATTAATTTCATGGATTTCTTGCCTGGGGACTTCCTGTTGATATGAGGTCACTGTGTGATACACCCCAGTACTCCTTAAAACACCTTTGATCAAGAAGCAAGAACCACTTGGGTGTGCCAGCCAGAGCAGGGGTGAGATGCCAGGCAGTCAGATTTGAGGCCTGGAGCTCTTGTGCTGTGTGCCTTCCTTCCTGGAGCTCATGGAGGCAGTTAGACCTTGTCACTCTGTCTCATCCACCTGAGCCACTTGCTGCTAGGCTCCTACTGAGTCTGTGAACAAATGTCCCCAACTGCGTCCACCAGCATCTACTTTGTATTCTAGTAAATTAACCTCTTACTCGACTGGGGCACCTTGAGCCCAGGGTCTGAGAGGATTGAAAGACTCTGGGCTCTGCCCCTCACTGTCAGGATTCTGAGAGATACACCTGAACCTCCCGTGTAAGTTGAGAGCATCAGGTGTGGTGGGAGGACACACCTGGCTGAGGTCTCTATGCCTGGGTCTGCTGTGTGCTGATTACTGGTTGTGCCTTTATGTGCACTGCTTTCTTTCCTTTGCTGCCATGTCAGGTGGCCTCAACGCTGGCACAGAGGTGTCCTGAGCTGGCACCGTGCCTTTGAAAAGTAAGCAGCCATCCACAGATTCGGGGATTTGGTGGACCTTCCCATCCCTGCGCCAGCAGCCCTGCCTTAATGGAAGTCGCTCGTCAGTTCCGCCTGCCCATGACTTGAGCAGCGTGCAGTCCCCACCCAGCTACGCCTGGCTCTCCATTTCCGCTGACTGCCCCAAGTCTGGCTTATGATGCCCACAATTCAGATCCAATTCTCGGTGCTATTTCCCCTAAACCACAGCTCTCCTTGGATACTGAAATCCAACCATCCCCATGACTCCTTCACAAGCTTCACCTCTGGTTCCATAAATGCAGACAGGCTGCAGGTTTCCATCTGCACTATAGCTCAACTCAGGCCCAGGTGTGGCACCCAGAACACCATACCTTTTCCTTGCCCACTTGCCCACAGCTTGGCAAGGACCATCAGCCTAGCTGTGCTTGGCTGGTCCCAGCCCAGGTCTCCATGTTCTCCATTTATCCTGCTCATGTTAACCACAAACATGTGAGGCACCCACTGTGGTACAGGGACCTTGGAGGGCACAAGAGTTCCAAATGATATGCGACGAGGCCCCGTGTCACAGGGCCGGACAAGAAGACAGTCTGGTGCTCTTTGGCTGCTCTGCCAGCCTAGTCCTTCAGCCATTCTCACAAACAATGCCTTCATCTGGGACTTTCCCATATCTGGAAAAAGCTTCCAGCTGGGGTCGTGGTAGAGTTATACAGCAACAGAGAACATTTAAAAAGACCTGGGGCTCTCCAGAATCCTTGGTCCCTGCTTGCGTACGAAATGTGTAGGAGTTTGGGGAGCGTGGGAGCATCAAAACATGTGGTTTTGGGGTAGTTTCTCTTGGCTGGTGTCCCTATCTGTGCTTGGCCACATAGGATTGATCTGACTGAAGGGCTGTGTGTCTGAGATCAGGCCTCTCCCGGTATCCCATCACTGCTGAGTGTTCTGTATCTCTTCATATGGCATTCTCCTTTCCTTCCTGATGTTTCTGGCTGCAGCCCTACCGCTGGGGAAGGTGGAGCCTGGAAAGTGGAAATGCTGTCGGCCCTTTCTGTCTTACTTCCCTCCACCACCACAGCCTCTTCACTTCTCATTTCAGCCTTACTCATTCTCTGTTGCGTGATGGTTTCGGGAGAGTGGTCCTCTCATTGGGCCCCGTGAGTGAAGACGGTCTTCTGTGTGTTCGAGTGCTGCCAGCGGTGGCCACGACTGAATCCTCACTTCCTTCTTTCAGTGCAGCAGCAGCAGCAGCAGCTCTGAGCAATTACTCCTCTTGCATTTGTGCCTAACTAACTGACTATAGGGCCTAGAGTGCTTCAGGAGTGACTTTCAGTCCAAGAAGACAGGCACCTCAGTTGTCTTATTCTTAGTGGATGCGTCTGAGGTGAGGTTGATCCAGTGGTCCTGGGTCCCTGATGAGGCCACAGCTGCCCTGTGGTAACGGCTCATTAACATGGCCTTTGTTTGCTTCATCTCCTCTTCCTCCTCTTCCTCCTCTCCCTCCTCCTCCTCCTCCTCCTCTTCCCCTCTCTCTCTCTCTCTCTCTCTCTCTTTCTTTCTCTCTCTCCAGAGTTATTTCTTGTTCTGTAGGTGCTACAGAATGTTCTGTGATAGCCATAATTTTGTTTTTGAATGGGTGAGTTTAGTAAGTATGCAGCAAGCCAAAGTAAAAAGAATAAACAGCAAATCGATGATAAGTAAGTAGGTACATAAACAGACAGACAACAAGACATCATTAAAACATCAACAGAAATTGGTGGAGGAAGTTGAGGCAGGCAGGCAGAATTTCAGCTGAGCTTCCTCTCCGTGGAGTAGCTTCCCATGACTGCACTGGCTCTTTGTCCACGCAGTGGGCATATTCCTATTATGGGATAAGCTATAGTCACATCTGTTGGTAAAAGTTTGCATCTGGCTATTCTCAAAGGACAGTGTTTCACTCTCCAGCTTTATTGCTATTCTCTCCTCCCTGTCACAGTTGGGAGGAGAGCCCCTTCCCAGAAAACTGTTCCTGGAGGACACTTGAGACAAACATGCTTGGGTTTGAATGGGGGCCGGCAGACTCAGCTTCTCAGTGAGCCCCAACGCACATGACAGCTAACCCATGTGATGTATATCACAGTAGTGTCAACTGCTCGCCTGGGAAAGCTTGGGGAGTCGACTTGGAAGGATCCAAGGATTCACCAGATCAGACTCCTCTCCTTCTTGGCTACTGAACTTAAGGCGCCTAGGACCAGGAGATGCCACATCACCCAGCTATTCCCGCCCCAGCCTCACTCATTGGCCCAGCCTCACCCACTGGCTTGATTCTTTGCCTTGCACATTTTCTTATGTCATCCTGTTTCATCATCGTGGCATCGTCTGGTGATTGGATCCACGCGCACCAGGGCCTAATTTCTTGCTTGAAACTTTTCTGGGATAGATACGGCGTCTTGGGTCAGGCAGGTAGACTGAAAAGGAAGTTGGGTTGGGGCTAATGACCGAGCTGCATTTGCTGTATACGATTCAGGTGGCAGTTTCTAAAGACAGACCTTGGTTCTGTTGGATGGAGTAGCTTGATGAAACTCCCTGTCAGTTCAGCTGTTGGTGACAGCAGGTCTCATGACTCAGGGACCTCTCCGGTGCTTGACCAGATGGAGCTCAGAGGTTTGTGTTGTTCTAGAATGAAGCTCCTACATGAGAAACTTTTCAGGGTTCTGAGGATGAACCTAATTGTCGCTGTTACATAATGTCCCAGTATAGCAAGCAGGAATGGTTTGTTCTGTGCTCAAGAAGCAAACTCACCTTTAGAATCCTTTTATTGAAATAAAGGAACGTGAACCAGGTTTTTAAAACAAAACAAAACAAAACAAAAGCTGGTGTATGTGAAGTTGGTTCTCTAGAGAAGAGAGCTTGCTGTGAACACATGATGGCTTGAATATGAATTCCCAGTGTCCAGGGAAAAAGCCAGACATGGCTACATAGGCCTGTAAACCAGGCATGGCTACATGTGCCTCTAAACCATTTATTGAGGGTTGTAAACAGGCAGAAGCTGGGAGTTCGCTGGTCATCCAGTCTAGCCTAAATGGCAAGCTTAGTGAGGGGCCGCATCTCAAGGTTATAGGCAAAAAGCAACAAATGAGTCATGTAAGGATGTGCCTGTGCGTGTACGTGCGTGTGTCTGTGTGTCTGTGAGGGGGGCGAGACCACAGGCACACACTCACACACTACAGGCACACGCACTCACATACCACAGGCACACACAGTCTCACACCACAGGCACACATACTCTCACACCACAGGCACACACACTCTCACACCATAGGCACACACACACCACAGGCACACACATTCACACACTGCAGGCACACACATTCACACACTGCAGGCACACACACTCACATACCACAGGCACACACACTCTCACACCACAGGCACACACAAGTGTAAGCACATGCACAGTCACCAGCTAGTACTTAGACAGCACATTCCTGAAATTTGGGAGCCTGCATCCCAGAGTTTAAGAGCAGGTGTCGTCCCATGTCCAGAACACAGGTATGATTTGTGCTTCCCCCTAATGCCAGTCATTGTGTATGACCTGTAAGTTTTCTGTTTCAAAGATGGTGGGATTTCCTTATCACTTCGAAAGATGTCTTGGCAGCCAGTGCGTATCCCTAACCGGCTTGTGCAAGCAAAGCTTTCCAAGCGGGGCCAGCTCTCATAGCTTGACTAAATGAATGGTGAAAACATAGATTCTCCAGCGTATATTGAAATTCCAGGTATTTGCTCCTGGCAGCGGTTCCCGCTAACCGAGGCTGGCAGCATAAACAGCAGGTGCGAGTCAGCGGCGGGCTGCTAGGGATTATTGATTTCTGGGCTATAAATGAAAAAGTGGAGAGTTCCCAGCTTCACACCCAGGGCCTGCCTGGCTGATTGAGCTGACCTGCTACTCCAGGCAGGAACCCCCATTTACGGGAACATATTTATTTTTGCATATCAATGTACTTGATGTACTTGATTGAGTATTATGGGTTTGGCCCCAGGAAACTCTCCTGCAGTTTATAAATAGCAAGTTCAGGGATGTAAAAAGGTTCCTGGAATTAGAGAAGTGCTTTTATTTTTTTTCTTTTTTATCAGTCTCCCCCACCCCTACCCCTTTTATGACTAACTTTTACATTTACTTCACAGACACTTATTTCTTACGTATTTCTAGAAATATACTTCTTCCAAGATGCTTAACAATGTAAATTAATTCCAAGTTATCTGTTATATTTCAGATTCAAAACCTAGTTCCAGCTAGGGATGTATTTTCTGTCCAGCAGGGCATTAAACGGGGGTCCGGGAGATCACCTTAAAGAGAAAGTGGGGGACAGGCCGACGCAAAGAATCACGGTTTGTCTATAAGCTGATCAAACTGTAATGTTTACTTTTTTCACACAAGGGTTATAAACACAAAAAGGCAGGATGTGGGGAAGGGGATGTGAGCATGGGTATTCGGGGAGTACAGATATCTTCCAGAACAGTGTCAGCTGGGTAAGGTTCAGGGGACAGGTCACTATGACTCTGCCTATGATTCACTTGTCCTTATCTAAGTTGGTACTATCCACCAAGGCTACCTATGTACAAGGTCTATGACTACTCAGGCTGGTAAATTTCCACAAAAGCTGCCTGTTTACAATAGCTTATAGCCATCTGTTTCAGTGTTTTTCCACAGAGATCCAAGACTTTTGTGTTAGCAGGTGTGTATGTCAGGCCTATTGCTGAATTTTAGGCCTGTGGCTGACTTTAGGCCTTCAGTGTATAAGCAGGGCTGCCCCTGACAGTTGTAGACTATCTGTCTAACGCTCATGGGTTTGGTTCTGTTTCCAAAACCACGTAAGCCGAGTGTGATAACATATACCCATAATACGGGTGCCTGCTAGGCAGAGGCAGGAGGGTCCTAAGCTCAGGTTCATCCTTGATGGTATAGCAAGTTTGAGTCCAGCCTGTAGTGCATGAGACCTAGTCTCAGAAGAAAAAGCCAGCAGTCTCCATCCCAAGCACAAGCTCTGAGGCCCTACTCCCTGAAAGCTACCTCAGTTACTGCTGAAAACGGAGTTTTATTATCTGGCAAGAGTGTGGCCTTAGGAATTCACAGCTGATACCATTCTCAGGCTCCAGGGAGGTTCCACCGAACCCAGTTTAGCAAATTGGTTCTCTGAGCTAACCTATCTCTCTCTCTCTCTCCATCCTTTTTATGAATCCCGACAGAGATGGAGATCTTCGCCTTTTTCAACAGACCGAAGAGCCAGCAGAAGTGTCGGCAGTACTACCCCGTCACCATCCCCCTCCAGGTCTCCAAGAACGGTCAGACAGTGAGCAGTCTGGACGCCAGCTGGCTGGAGCACATGAGCGACCATTTCCGGAAAGGTGGTGTGCTGGTGAACGCCGTCTTCCAGCTCGGCATGGCTAACGGTATGGAATGCTTTACCACTTTTTACCACTTTGCTTGTTCCTCTGATCTTGGCTCTTCTTCCCAGCCTCCTCCATCCAGAAAGCCACATAGTCAATAGACACACTGCATTTGACTTCTAATTAGCATATCTCGGGCAGATCTCATGAAGGCTAGACCCTCTGCAGTGACCTCGTGTCTTCTTGAATGAAGATGGTGGGTTTGGAGGCTTTTAAGAAGGCAACTCTCTGGGACTGTTAATTCCACCCCCTTTAGATGTCACTCCAGAAGTGCAAACTGTTTGTACACACTGTTGCAGTCTGTAGTACCCACAGCTGCACCTTGGAACTGACAGCTGGAACTGATGGCAGCACCTGGCTCTGGTGAGATGCTTCTGGGACACAAGTTCCAGTCATCTGCCTTAGAAGTGGGCTCATCTCTTGCTTTGTGAGATAGCACTATCTCACAAAAGGGCCTTGCTTTGTGAGATAGCACTATTGATGTCAGCTTTTGAGGCAGAAGGGAAGTCTATCCACAGTGGAGAATGGTTTTGAGTCAAGAAACAAACGGTTTGGGGAAACTTGCCAGTGAGTTGAGTCACCTTCAAAGATATAGAAGCAGTTTGGGGTGTGGGGCTGGCATACCAGCCTGGACAGGAATGTGAGCCAGCCTGATGCCTTAGGAAGTGAGGTGTGACAAAAACCTGTGGATCCTAGCAGAGCCTGACAAGGCATTGATGATGGGGTTGATGGTGTGTAGCTTCTCAGACAGGAGCAGGGCTGGGAGTGAAGTTTGGATGCTTTATTTTCTGTGAAGGGTCAAGTAAGCCTTCTTAGAGCAGAGCCCCTGTTGTTCTGCATGTGTAGGCTCTGGATGATTCACAGCCTGGGATGATGACAATGCAGACAGGTCTCAATGTGGAATGCAAGGTCCTTGCTTGTTTCTATTTGACTATCAGTGATATGGTCAATGGGTCATTACAGCAGTAGCAGGCCTGATGAGCGGGTGAATAGCACTGAAAGTCTGAGCTACCAAGAAAAGCATCTAGGACAATGCTGTCCAGTAGAACTTTCTGTGATGGTAGAATGTTCTGGATTGTGCTATCCCATAGCCACCAGCCATCTTGGGTACTTTTGACTTAGAAACTAAATTTTACAGTTCATTTCATTCTTGTTCATTTAAATATGAATAGCTCTGTGTGACTAGTAGATTTGAGAGTGCAGCTCTAGAGGACACATTTAGTTAACTTGTCAGTCCCCAGCGGCAGATCAAGTAACTCATTGATGCACAAGGAAGCCCCCTTTGGGTGGCTCCAGTGTACTCAGAAGCAGGGGTTGTCATGGGCTGTTTGGAGATGCACCATAAAACACCAGGGGCAGGAGGTACTTGAAGTGGGCGTTTCTAGTCCACTTCATCAGTATTGGGCATGCCAGGGAGGACCCCATCAACTCCCACTTCTTTAGGGACACTGGTAGTAGCTGTTCCTTTTCTATTGTCTAGGTTGCCAGACAAGGTTTTACATTTCTCCTCAGCAAACCTATGACTAGTTGTACTAACACCTTAAAAATGAACAGCTGTTAGTAGCTACTCAGGAGGCTACTGGGTAATTGTCTTTCTTAGCAAAATTGGAGCATCAGAAGGAATGTCTTTGGCTCCATTATCTGAACCCAAGAGAGAATACCATATAAGCTCCCAAAGCCACTGATGCTGTCTTAATGATAGCTTAAGGATCTAGGCTGAGTCGACCTCTGGGCTCTTCCTCACCTCCCTCTCCAATCCGGCACACAAAGCACTGAGATTTACTGGGGCTTTACATTGGCCCCACAAGTGTAAAATGGTGTTTTAGCTGCCCTTGGCTTTAGGTACAGCAGATGAGTGTTTCATCTTTGAGGACAAATTATAAAATGTCCCCTGTGACCAACAGTCCCTGCAGCAGTGACTCCTGTACCTCTGCAGTGGAGGGTCTGCGCAGGCAGAGCTCTTAAAGCATGGGGGCAGAACTCCAGGAGCAGACCTCGGAAGGCGGTGCTTTAACTGCATCTTTCTGCTGCAAGGAGAGGGAGTCAGCGTAACCTTAGTGGCAAGGGCGGTTCTGCTCTGAACAAGCCGAGGGTTTCCACCAGCCAGGGAAAAAAAACAGGCACCTGACCTTTTCCCAGAATTGAAAAGACATGCTGAGCATCTTTGCTAATAACCTGGCAGGGGGAGAGTCTGTCTGTCTGTCATGACTTTTAAATGGGTATCCATTCCTCTTCAAAAGTATTTTCCACAGAGCTATAAAATTAGTGAAAATTTTGTCCTGCAAATAAGGTAAGACTTCAGTCTGAGATACATAGTCAGACTCTAGCTTCCATTTTTACTTTCCCAGAATGTCCATCCCATGTCAAAATTTCCTGTCCTGTGTGGTGGTGGTGGTGGTGGTGGTGGTGGTGGTGGTGGTGGTGGTTCTAATTAATGCCTAAATGGGTATGTTACCAAGTCTTGATTGGGTCCATTTTCCGGGCCAATTAAAGAATTAAAAGGCAGGAATTTAAAGGCACAACAGGTAGATACAGGGAAAAATCTCAGATGGAATTAACGTTTAAGGGGGTGGGTGTTTTATTAGAGATGAAGAAACACATGCACAGAGTAAAGCACACGGGAAGACCCTCCTGGCTAAGCAGAGGGGACACTCGAGGCCCTAAAATCTTGTCTTTCCTTGAGGGCTGTGGGGTTTGATGGCCTTGGAGATGTCCTCATCCCCTGAGTTAAGATTGGTGATCTTGAACAAAGACGGGTAAGCTGATAGGCCAAAAACATTGAGGTAGGCGTGGCCTGATGGGGCCTTGAACTTGTCAAACTGGTCAGGGGTCTGGTAAATGACTGCAAGCCCTTTGTCTCAGGTTAAGAATTCAGGGAAGAGGGAAAAGTGCCATTTTTATATTATCTATTTGGACCTCGTCCCTATCTGTCTATCGAAGGTCTGTCTAGCTCCAAGTCCCTCAGGCACATGGCACAGGAGAGAAACATGAGGATGACCCTTTACATTACCTGCTGCTGCCTCTCCCTGCAATTCATATAAAGCAGTTCCTTCAAGCCCTCAAGGCAGCCCTGTGGCCTAGGGACTCAGCCTGTAGGATAGCTCTGGAAACAGGTTCTCCCAGCTAGGAGGTGTCAAGAAAGTGGGAAGGAAGGAGAAAAAAAAGGAATAGGAGAGAGGTGGGAAGAGATAGGTATCTTGGTTGAAAATTGTCCTCTCAGATGGATTTTGGGTGGCCCCTTGGTGGTGGGGAGGGGAAGGCACCAGATCACCAGAGAGAGCATCAGAGATGAACCCAGGGCTACCTTGCAGTGCATGTGGCGGGCCACTGGGGGCTCTCCAGCCGGTGAGTCTGTTTCCAGAAGGGTAAGAAGGGACAGCCTTGTGCTGAGCTGGCTGTGAGAAGCTCAAGGCGTGGTCAGCGGGTGTCTGGACATTTACATCTGAGACACTCTAGATAGCTGATCTCTTGGGTCTGCCAAATCCCTGCCACTGTCAGTGGGCCTCAAAGCTATAGGGTCACTACTCTCTCTCCCCGTCCTCCCTTGGAACTCCCTTCAAGGTCCTGTGGTCCTGGCCGGCCCCCATTTATCTTACTTGTCTGTGGTAATTTCCCCCGTAACCCTCACCCCACCCAGCGCATGCTCTCTGCACCCTCCCTCTTGCTCTCCACGTGCCCTGACTTCTTCCCGCCCCCGTGCTGTCCTTTTCCTCTCCTACCCTGGGACACTTACATCAGTACTCCCTGGGTTTCAAAGATATCGGTACAGCTGATGACTGCAGCAGAGTCTAGCCCAGAGATGCACTTGCCATGGCAGCTGCATCTTTACTTTTGCCTGGAAGAGCCATTTTCCTACCTTGATGCTAGACAGGAACACAGTTCCATGTCCACCAAAGGACTTCCTGCAGTGACTCACTCAACAGTACCTCTTGGTGGGTTCTTGGCCTCTTTTTCTAGCCACTCTTTCCTGTAAATCTGAAGGTAGTTCTGCAGGCTATCCAGATGAAGACTTGACTATAATATATTCTAGATGATGTGTTCTGTTCATTTGTCCGTTACATTGCACAGGGTTTTTGTTGTTGTTGTTGTTTTGGTTTGTTTGTTTGTTTGTTTGTTTTTTGAGACAGAGTTTAGTTTCTCTGTGTAACCTTGACTGTCCTGGAACTTACTCTATAGACCAGGCTGGCCTCAAACTCAGAGATCTGCCTGCCTCTGTCTCCCAAGTGCTGGGATTAAAGGTGTGTGCCAATACTACCCAATATTATGGGTCATTTTAACTGGATTTGTCTCTATTCCTGACCCCTCCCTTTAAGCAATTTATGTGTATGAGTGTTTGGCTGCATGTTTGCATATATGTCATATCTATATCTGGTGCTTATGGAGGCTAGAAGACGGCACAGGATTCCCTGGAACTGGAGTTACAGATGGTTGTGAGCTACCATGTGGGAGCGTTCAAATTCAGCATCCGTGTAAGACTACCCAGCACTCCTGATAGCTCAGCCATCTTCCTGGCCCCCATTTCTGCTCTTTTGAAGAAACAAATCATCCTGACGCTCCTTGATGCCTCTGCTGCACCCTAGTCTGTGGTCGCCAGGGTCTCTGGAGGAAGTGATTATTCAGCTGGCTTGCTGGATGTTGTCAGTCCATAATGCTGGTTGTCTCCCTGTGCCTGACCTGGGGCTGCGGTCTTAGAAGGCTGCTGAGGAGCTGCCGCTTTTCAGGCTCTGGAGTCCTGCAGAAGTCTGAGTTAAATGCAGACTACAGCAGTCGATGGATGAACTTCCAGTGAGGGTCTGGGCTAGCAGGCCGAAGGCAAACGGGATGCCTGCAGGAGGGATAGCCCAGATTCAGAGTCTCTCTTCCTGATTCCAATAATCAGCTTAAGAAAATGCCTCATGGGTATGCCAGCAGCAGGGCTTTAGCCCAATCCCACCTGCTAAATTGTTGACCAAGATTAGCCATCACAAACAGAGAAAGCCAGGCCTGGTGGCACAAGCCTTTAA